TAATTCTTTATCTCACACACACACACACACACACACAGAAAAGTGTCCTTATTTTTTCCATTTACACATGGCCTATTGCTTCCACACCCCTTTTCCATGCGCACACTTTTCCTCCTTTTAAAACTCAACTCAGACCTGCTGGAAGTCATTCGGAGACGGAAGTCAAAAAGCTCTTGTTTTACTCACATAGAGCTCCAGGAGGAGGGAGCACTCCTGCTGAAGCAGGGAGGCGACGGCAGCGGCTCTGCCGGCAGCCGCGCTCCGGTGTTCCGTCATGGCTCTGGTTCGTATCCCTGCCATTTCCAGCTCCCTCTGCCTCCGACCAGCCGCAGCAATTAGACTTTCCCTCCCGGACTGAGAGGCGCAACAGGTCAGCCTTTTAATATAGCCTGTAATAGCCGCGGTCTTATCGCGATAACACCGCCTCCTCTCTTCCCCCAACCAGCTGGAACTCACTAATCCTTCTTCCGGTAAACTGAGCACCCCCCACTCCACACATCCTCCGACCTTACTGGATCTGGAAATCGGCTCTCCACCCTTCTCCTCTGTCTAAATTTAAGTTTGGCTGCAGCTTTCTTTGTGTTAAAAAGTCAATCAAACAGTCCTATCAGGGTGGACCCATGAGTCCTTATCAGTCATAAGCTGTGCAGGAAATAGCTGTCCATCATGGACCAAATAACAGGATGCTTTGGGAAAAAGAAAGTYATCGTTTATGTCTCACTAGGGCCCAAAATTCAAAACTTGGTCCAAGCCAATGGTCATTTTTTGTCAATATGTATTAAAGAAATGCTCTATAACAATAGATTCTTAATTAAATACATGCTATTTTCCAAAATTTTAAATTCAGAAAGGCTTACTCTCTATTAACTTTTTAATTCATATCTTAGTAATACATTGCATCGCAATCCAAAYAATCAGATTCTTAAAAAACGCACAAAAATTCCAGTTATTTGACTTTAAAATAAGAAAAATAATAATATCATTAAAATCGATTTCTGTTACTCTTTCCACACCAAAGTTAAAAATTTAAAGTGGTCCTGCTGTCATTAGGAGAATGCACTACAGCAGTGGTTCTTAACCTTTTTCGAGGTACCGAACCCACCAGTTTCGTATGAGCATTCACTGAAACCTTTTTAGTGATAAATAAAATGTGATTTTTTTTTCAAATTCAAGACATTGGTATATGTTTTTTTTTGTTTGTTTTGTTTTTTTACTGGTGTATAAAATGAGCCGTGCATGAACATCACCTTGCTCAAAGAACAACACAGTGCATGAACTCACAACAAATTACAGTATGACATTATTCTGGCCCCAAAAAAATAATTTGCCCCCATGAAAATTTTCAGCCCCCCAATACATATTTTTTTACTATTTTACTAATAAAAAATAAACTGGGATTTTTTTTGAACAATTTGACATTTTTTATACGTAACTTTTTTATTTATTTATTTTAAGGTTAATTTGTTATTTGTCGTTTTGAATCCACAAAAAATACTTCTTTGGGGCCAGCACTGATTGGCCAAGCAACCTCACGTGATCCTCTGCAGCAACTGATGGCCAAGCGGGGAGTGTCATCATGACTTTACACAAGTGTCCTTACCTCCGCGGCAGAGGCTCCACCGAACCCCTGAGACCAGCTCATCGAACCCAGGTTAAGAACCACTGCACTACAGGAAAAAAAAGGAAAAAAGATAGAGAAACCATGAAACTATTTCACATTATTACCTTTGTGGCCGGATAAAATGTTATTAAGGGCCAAATTTGGCCTGCGGGCCTTGAGTTTGACAAATCTCCCCTGACATGCAGATATACCCTTAAAATGTGTTATTGTACAGCTGTACCATCATAAATATTTTTTTAATTAGGGTAATTGTATGTTTGTCTGTTTAGCAAAATATCTCACAGGATGGATTTCATAATAAAATTCAGAGTGTAATCACTGGAGTGCTCACTGATGTCGTAAGATTTAGAAATGTCACCATTTGGGAGGTTCATGCAGTGATAAACAAGGCGGTGTCCGTTTACTTTTGCTATCTTTACACTGCCCCTGGTGAAAAGAAAAATTAGATGTGTGTCTTAAACCTACTAAAAATTACTTAGAAAAAAGAAAAAAAAGTGTGATATGACACAAGTAATGCATTTATTCAGAACCAAGGATTACATGAGTTTAAAGCCCCGCATCTTCTACACGTCGATCAGTCGGGGTACCCACTCAGCAGGGTTTAATCACACAATATTAATAAAGTAATATTGCAAAAAGAGATTCTCTAGTATTTTTTTAATCTTTTTACAGCCTAACAGTTCAAGGCCCACTTCAACAGCAGATTAATTTGTCTGAATAGATTATTGACTTAGGCCTACTCCCATTCCTTTGCTTCCTGAGTTGTCAGATGAAATCTGATGGAGCTGCATGAGCCATCCCATATTTCCTCTTTGGTATCTTTATATTACCTGTTTTCTCACTGAACATATTATTTCAGTTCCATCACTGTTATTTCAGCAATCATTGTTTAGTTAATCAGGTAGAGAGTCCTTTGTGCAGAGAAAAGTTGCATTGTTTATGTACATTTTTAAAATACATTTTATTAATTAAAAACTAAACAAATGAGAGTACTGTTTTTGTTTTGTTTATAAGATTTATTTAGCCCCAGACTTATTGATAATTTTAGGCTCAAAGTCCAAATGTGGTTTTTAAAATGTAATTCTCCGCCTCACCTGCAGGGGGCAGAAACACCTGCAGAGACCTGGAATCTGCATGCAGAGAAGCAACAACGCAACATCTATCCTGGGTTTTTTTGCTTATAAAATACATAATATTTATTTTATAATTAATTTTTAGATTGTTTTCACAAGTTATTACATTTTCTCTGGCGGAAACTTCACCAAGAACCATCATTMTTGCGTTTTTGTTGTGAGCCCGAGCTAGCTTCAGTATGAACTCCCTCGTTAGCTACGGAATGTCTTCTGACAGCGAAGAAGAGGTGGAGGATGTAAACATTAGACACACWAGGTGAGTATTTGTCACATATACAAGTTTTCAAATAGTAGCACTGAGTTAACTCGAGTGACGTGTTAATTGATTTCCCTTTCAAGCTCACTTGTGGACGATGGCGCCGCTAAAAAGACCCGCAACTTTTTACTGGAGTCCGGTTCAGCGTCAAGTGATTCCGAGCCAGAGGACCCAGAGCCTTCATCAACACCATCTTCTGTGTCCTGTCAGTCTACCCTTCCTGCGCCATCTGTAGGCTCTCCTACAGCTAATAAGTTGCCGTCTCCATCTCTAAATGCCTCCGCTGACAGCAGCGTCTTTGCCAACCCTTTCAGGGCTCAGGCAGAACAGAAACTCAGTGCCCTGCAGAAACACGTCCCCCTCACAATGCAGGCCAAACCCTCCCAGATAGGGGGCAAAAGGGTCTGTGTTTCCTACAGGAAGGATGGGCGGTGCAGGTTTGGCATCAAATGCAAATTTGCTCACGACAGTGACCTCCAGACCCCAGGTGTTCCCGCTGACTGTCATCCAGATGTGACCGTGGAAACACCAGCATCAGCTCCTGCCGTGGGTGGAGGATCCCGCAGCCTCCAGCTGGACGACAAAGAGTCAGAGCAGCAGCAAACAAAGAAGAGGAGGGTCGGACTGAGTAACTCCTTGATTCCACCCAAAAGAACGCTGAAGCAGTACGCTCTGCAAAGGGAACAGGAGAGGATCAATATGTCCTGATGAAAGATTTCAAATTAGAGACAAAAAAAAAAAACTTTTCTGAAAATAGAGATGTGTATTTTATAGATTACTATACTTGATTGTGTACAAAGATCTGGACCARCCAAATTACTTATATTTGCATCATATTTCCCAGATGGTTTGCTTCAAGATTACAGACATTAACCCCTTCAGACCTGATTTGTTTCTGTTAGTTAAATAAATTGTATTCAGCAGATTTGTACTTCTATTTCCTATAGAAACAAAAGGAAAAAACATTTTTGTCATTTCTTTTTTATTATTTTTCTATGTCCCTTACAGTGGATGCCACGACTAAACGAGAGTCATGTCATGAATTCTTAGGGTTAAAAAAGGCATTTTTTAAAATACTTAATTTATCCAATTCCTAATTAGGTATGATCTTAGCAGATATYATTGTGGATAATAAAACTAAGTAATTACTTTTGCCTTCAGCAATCCAAAATGGAACTTATAAATGCATGGTCATACATTTTAATAGTAAACTAACCAAATACCTACTGATTATACAATAAGCAAAACAATTGGCAAAATATCAGCTTAGTGGCTATTTTCAGGTTGTCACTGATTCTCTGGTACATATTGTTTGAAATATTCATATGAACTCATCCTAAATTGGAGGATTCTCCAATGAAAGATCAATGTTTGTTGTGAATTATGCTTCCTGGTTACTGACATGTCATAACCATCTTCCCTTCTTACTGTCATCTCTTGATCCTCTGCCACTGCACCATCTTCTGTCTCACCTCAATTGCCATCTCATGTTCTCCTGGTATGCAAGGACCTCTCCATTGTCTCACATCCATTCAATAACAAGTATATTTTTGACTTTTTTTTAGATTCTTGCACTTAAACTTGTGCATTTGTTGCAATTTGGAGCTTATATACAGAGAATAAAACAGATAAAAACCTTGCATTATGAGTTTAAAATAGTTTTTACTTCTAATTTACAAATATCTTCCTCCTGTTCCGATCCGCCTCATTTCCTGAATCCAAGCTGTCAGTATCAGATATCTCTTAATTTACGAGCAGGAAGTCTGGACTTTATACTTCAGAAAACATGAAAACTATTAAATAAATTATTGTAAACTCACAATTCAGCTATGAAATGCTTGCAGGTATTTTTCCTTTGTTTTGTATCATTCAAACAGATCCAACTCCTGATGTCCCCTGAGATGGACATTTAACTTAGAAAAGATCCTGTTTATTAATAAGAAATATTTTCAAAACCACTTCAAATATTATCACTTAAAATAGTTAAAATTATACTGAGAGACATTTTATTAGGTTACAATTAAGATAAATTAATATTTTTTGACGGAAAATACCTACTCCTTCCGTTCTCCAGATTCATTGGCATGCGTGTCTTGTCACGAGCCTGAAGCTTAACTCACTTCAGTCTAAAGGCCGTCACATCATACCTTATGAAACATTTTTATGTCTAAACTGCTAATAAAAGTTGTATATTTGATCAATTTGTTAGTATTACAGTATGTACATGCCTAAAAGAAACTTCCAGTTGACTTTTTCAATTCCATCTTCAACGTTCAAGTCTTTAAATTTTCACAAGTTGGCATAAGTTGTCTAAAATGTCATAGTGTGACAGGGCCTTAACTGGTTAATCAGGAACTAATCAGTAACAACAATGATTCAAATGATGAAAACATTATTTATTTGGTTTAGGCCTAAAACTATTTGATGTCCATTCCAATGGACCTCACAGAAGGGGTTAAAAAACAACCACGATGAAGGCTGATCCACTGTTAAAAGGCCGAAACAGGATTTACTAAAATCAAATTCTTAAGCATCATTTGGATAAATGTTGGGTCATTTATTTACATCTTATAAATGGACAGGTTTATGTGGTTGTGCTCAAACAAATCTAATGTGACAGATTATCAGATTCTACATAAGTTTGCTTTTCAAAGACATCACACTTATAAGGTTACTGACAAATCAATGATTTTATGTTCATGTGCAAGTTGCACATGCAACTTTTAGCTGCTTCCAACAAACTTGTGAAATGTAGACCACACTTGTTATAGCTTCTATAAATGTCTACAAACACTCAAATGTTTATAAACAACTACACTACAGTCTCTGACGTAAGTCACGTTGAACGTTTCCTCCAGGGACTGACAAGTCTCCTGTCTTTGTAACCACACATTTTCTTTAATTTACTTGTTTCCTGTTCTTTGAGAAAAGTAGGCAATAAATGAAAAGCTGTCCAGTGTTAAAATCTAAATGATCTCACCCAATTATCAGAAATTCAATAACTTTTTAATGTGTTCTGTGTTAATCTGTTTCATAAATTAAATTAATTAATTCAGCTTATTTGATGCCACACTTCTGTCTTTTGATTTGCTGTATATTCATTGGCGATGGGCTATATTACTGCATAAATGCAACCTAATTCTTTATCTCACACACACACACACACACACTCAAACAGCTAGTTGCAGGACTATTATGTACAAAGAAAACATACACAGTTTCCCTGATAGATGCTCTAAAAAGCTACCAAGTTTGACAATGAGTGAACAGTACTTATTATATCAGGGATCCTACATTTACCTGTTAATACAGTKTATCAGGTATACATCTACTGCTTTGTGTGCACCATATGTGTTACATGAGAGTCTGCTGCATGTGTCTCTCAGTGTTTTCAGACAGATCTGCCCCCTGTCCTGTCTGCTCCCAGACCACTCCACCCTCAACACCTTCTGTCTGCTGGAGTGAGCTGCCTGAAGGAGAAGAAGAYAGCACTGGATTGTCCAGCATAAAACTGTCCCCGTTGGTGGAAGCTGGATCCTGGGACTGATGTTGGGAGGTGGACAGCAGAGGAGGYCTTGGAGCAGCTGGCTGCAGGGTGTGAAGCTGCTGAGAGGTGGTRAATATGGGGACATGTTGAATGTGGGTCTGGGACTGGCTGACGGGCTGGAAGGTCATCTGCAGTATTTGGGTCTGGCTTTGGGAGGAGTACGGCTGCAAAGGCTGGAGCTGAGGCTGATGCTGGGTCACCACCGGGCTGGAGTGGAGGGCCAGCTGATGAATCTGGGGCTGCTGCACCTGCTGAGTGGTCTGCACGAACTGGACGGGCATCTGGAGCTGGAGGTGTGGCTGCTGGCTATCCGCTGGAGAAGGGGGGTCAATCGGGGACAGAGCGATTGCTACCGGCACCTGCATGGTGTGAAGGCTCTGGTCCTGCCCCAGCAAAACCACCTGAGGGCTCACTTGTTGGGCCATGTGACTCAGGTGCTGCCCATCTGGACCCAGCTGCTCCGCCTGGCCGTCTTGCCCAATTTCCACAGTGATGATCTCTGCTTCTATGGGGTTTTCTGGAAGCTCCAGCAGGGAGGAGGGAGTCGTGATCAGGGCGCCAGCGTTGGCTGCTAGCGCCTCAGCAATCAGAACCTCCGGGTGACTCTTAGCCTTGTGGGCGACCACGCAGTCCTTCTTCTCAAACTTCTTCCCACAGATGGAGCAGGAGAACTGATAAGTGGCATCGGCGTCGTGCTTCTTCATGTGCCAGTTGAGAGACGCCTTCTGACGACAAGTGAAGCCACAGATCTCACACCTGTTGTAAACAAAAAACATAAAAAGGCTTAAAAATGTAAATAAGGTAACATATGTTAAAAAAATGTATATAAAAGAAAAATATACTAACTGTAAGGGTTTCTCTCCGGTGTGAATCATGCGGTGCACAGCTAGATTGTGGGAGCTCTTAAAGGCCCGAGCACAAAACTCACAGATGTAATCTCTCTGATCTACAAGTAAAAAAATAAATTAATTAAAACTTTCAGATTTTAATATGTTTCTCCACATATTCTGAACACTGAAAAGGATTAAAGATCAGAACTTATGCACATGCACTACCTGTGTGGTGTTTTGCGTGACGCAGCAGCTGCTTCTGCAGACGGAAAAGCCTCCCGCAGGAAGGATGAGGACAGACATACTTCTTCTTTAGCAAGTGCTGATATTTTATATGGTGCTGGAGAAAAAAAAAAGGAGTCAGATATTTTTGTCTGATATGAATAATCAAAARTGACATTCCGGTCCCATGATGGCTGCCCTACCACTACATTTGATTCACAAAAAGGAGATGAGGCTTTTACAATATTTCTGAATCAARACGTTCTCTTTTGAACTTGAGTTCAAAAGTCTCATCTCCCTGACTCGGTTTTTAACTCAATGTGAAACAAAGACGCTGCCTCTCAGCATGTACCTGCACAGGCTGCAGCAGTGATCTCATGCTTACTCTTAACTGCTGCTACATTAGCAATTTAAAGTGGTGGAGAAATCTTCAATGGTTATGTAACCAGAAGACGTCATGCTGGCTGCAACTTTATAGTGTTTCACAGGACGCTTTTTAATTCAACAGAATAATCATTTTAGTCTTGCAATACCGCACGGTGAGTTCTAGTTACACTTCTAGTAAATAAATTAAAACTCAACCGAGTATTTTATACGCCTGACATTGTAACAAGTAGCTTCTATGAATGAAAACAAGTTAATGATCATTGGGCGTGTTAAAAAAAAAAAACATTAGTAGGGGTCTCTCTGCAGTACATGTTGTCCTYTGGGCAGAGATGGCCCTACCCGTGATTGGCGGATCGACTTGTCCTGTGGGGCAACTTAAAAGAGGAAGTAATGATGATAGTAAAATAATATGATTTATTGACTGTCTATGTAGTTTAAAACAGAGCAATGACTCAAATAAAAATCATTAACACGTAAACATAATTTATTGACATCACATTTGCTCGAACTAGCTACTCCCTGCTGTCCCCAGCTTCTTCAAACACCACCGTCAATCTGGCCAATCATGTTTTTGGTCAACTACGCCCACAAAATAAGAAACTCCTACTTAGTGACTGCAGAGACCCCTTTCTCAAAAATAAATAAATAAATAAATAAAATAAATAAAAATAAACTTGATGTAAATTTTGAGCCTTTTTACCCAAGTTCTCTCCTCAAACCTTGCACTTTGAATAAGGAAGTAAACAGGCTCGGCTTACTGTGACTGATGCAAACAAATAGAGGGTAACGTGATAGCAGAGACCAACCTGAAGGTAGCGAGGATGAGCCAACACCGTCCCACATCCTTCCATTTCACAGCGCACATACTGGACAGGAGGTTTCTTCCTGAGCAAGTGAAGAAAAACAAACAATTAAGTGACTTGTTACATCTTCACATAAGATTCCTATATAGAAATCTTACAATTGATATTTAAGGGAGATTCGAGGTGGGTCTTTTTCTTTTCCCAGCAAATTAATGTGTTGCAAAAGAGGAAAAATCATCACAGGATTTTACAAAACTTTAAAAAAAACTGTTTTWTTAAACTGCGATCATTATGACTCCTAACTCACACAGTACTCTCACCTTCTCTTTGGAAGACGTGGAGTTTTGTCGTCTTTTTTCCTGCGACCTCTCCTTACAAGGTGAGAGGAAAGAAAAGGGATAAGTTTAGAAAGATTAAGACTGAAGCTGAAGAAACCAAGTTAGAAAGAAGTTGGTTGATATTTAACACAGAAACTGATGAACTGCCAGGTTAAAAAACATGGGTGCTGCACTCACTTCCTGGGTCCGTCCTGATCTTCATTTACTTCCTCTTCCAGCTTCACGTCTTCCTGAACAAACTCCAACTTGTCTGAGCCTTCGACTTTTATCTCAGCCACCTCGTTTTCTGTCTTGGGTCCTTTTTCTTTTTTTTCTTTCGGTCTTGGAGGAGCTCTACGCTTTGGCTTAGGCATGTCCCTATGGAAAAAAATTAAGATCATAAACAAGTAAACAAAAGCTTCTCCAGTCAAATAATCTTTAAACATGTAATAAATACAACCTCGTTCATACAGACACATACACAAACCTTTCAGCCCTTGGATCATAGCTCTGYTCATTTAAGTCGTCTCTAAAAGAAAGATCTTCATCACTACTGAGACCTTCTTCCTCCTCTGCACCACTGGAAAAAAATCCAAACAAACAATTATATCAAACAGCCTTTCACACTTTCTGCAGAGAGTCAAGTCTACCTCTGACTCTGAGGCCGATAGTTGAGATCATTTGGGTCATCCTGAAATGGAAGGTCTTCATCATCCAGAATTTGTTCAGCAGCCTCCTCATTTTCTTCCTCTTTCTTGTCACTAAGTGAACATAAATGTTTGCCGTCGGTTATTCTCCAGAACAAAACAGAGCCTACGCAACCTACTTATGCCTCAGTGAGGGTTTGAAACATGCTGCTGGTATTTGCTATATTACTTTAACTATGCAGTTTTTGAGACATTCTCAGTTAGACGTACATTTAAAGTGATAAACAAAATCACTACTTTCAGGTTGTACTCATTTCATAAAGCCAGTTGTGTTTGGGGGATGACGTTTCATGTACCTTTTATTGCTAATAAAGATGAAGATATACTTACATGTCACACGTTTCTTTATCCGTTACCTCCTCCTCCACTGCTGTGATTCAAAAGAGACATCATGAGATCAAGTGAAACTATAAATATTATAAATATATGGCACTCAGATTTAAGATATTCATAAAGAAAGATGTGCAAATTAAGCAGTCACTGTCAGTTTTTGAAGCACATCAACAGCTAATTTCACCTTTCTGCATGAGCAACATTTCTTCTGAGAATTATAGGCCCACATCTGAAACATGGCGGCTCATAGTCAGCAGGTTAAGGCTGGTTTATACTTCGAGTCGCACGTCTTGTTCCTCCTGCTGAGTGACAAAAAACTGTACAACTTCCCTTTGCTCCTCTGCTGCTGTCCCCCAGTGACAGCTGGCGTGTACATGATTTTTGTCTGAAACCAGTTGTTAAAAGAGCTAGAGGAGCAGCTGATTTAATCCTATTGAACGTGAGCATGCAGTTGATTTTCACGTCTTTTTTTCCTCCGCGGATTCTTCTTCACTCATCACGACACTGATCATTGAGTGATTAAAAAAAACACAAATCCAGCCAACATTATTACTGTTTATGTACTTATTTGAGCTGTGGGAGGATCTATGATAATTTATAGCCCAACATGTCTTCAGCCCATTTATACACGCTCAGAATGATGAAATCACCAACCTGCTGTCTCACGTTATTGAAGTATAATCCAAACTTTACTCACCGGTTTGATTCTCCGTCTCAGGTTCGATCTTGCACACGGGTTTGGCCTGGCCACGAGCACCTCTGCCAGCTGTGGACCTGGCATTAGTCTGAGCCGAGGGGCGCCTGGAAGATGGAGCTGTCGTGAAGGAGAAGATGCATGCAAAAAGGCATCAACAAACAGATCAGTTTTGTTTGAACCATCACGTATAAATATACGTTTTAGTCACAATTCAAAACGGGTTTTTGTGCAGCATCTGACTAATTACCTTGGACATCTGTAGACGGTTTCTTAGGGTCTTCTGAACTAAAGAAAGAAGTAGAAAAACTCACATCATCTTGTGTTTTGGTTTTGAAAACAGGTAAACAATGGCACACCGAAGAACTGTTTGGCATTGAGAAGCCTGACAATTTCAATGCACTGGTGTGTATTTAAGCTCAGATTTGTTCAGTAAAGTGTGTAGATTTCAAGAATAAGTTAGGCTGAACCAGTAAATTTACTTGTCTGGAATGAGTTTGCTAAAAGCTGAGTGTGAACGCTGAGCTCCACTATCTTTCTTGATTGCCGATATTTAATATTCYCTCTTAGGTTAATGGTTTTCACGCTTTTCTTTCATGTTTACCAGCACAGTCGCTCTATATTTCCACTTAATCATTTGTTCAACTCTGCCATATTTGTTTACCAACTACAGCCAGCCTACTGAAGGTCAACTACACGACTCAAGCTCCACTGGTTTGCCTCTATTTATGTGTACCTGCATTTCAGCATTGCACATCAGTATAGCTCTAAAACCACTTTAGTAAACTCTTTTAAAGCTGAACTATTTGATGCAAGATATTTTTTGTTTAATTTGCAATAAGTACCTATAAGAGTACTCATTTAGGACCTGAAGAACTTGATGATAATGTGAAGATCTTTAAAGACAGACAGGTAAGTTTTACTCCACCCAGAGAGGGGACGAGCCTGTCTGAAGGCGTGCTTTTGGCAAGAACCGACCCACACTGACTTATTGTAAACAAATCGTGTTAGGTMCTTGTGAATTGCATCTATACCAGTTAATGATGCTAACTTAAAAGCTTACTCTGTGCACTGAAGGCTGTCTCCTGCCAGCCCCTCTCCAGCTTCCACCTGACCCGCAGAATCTGAAATTTTCTTCCGCCTGCAGCTGGAAACTTTCCTTCGCTTCGTCGCACCGCTCTCCGGGCTCGGTTCGTCTTCGTCGTCACTTTTTGAGTCCTTCAGCCAGGCCGGGACTGCCCTGGTTGACCTGTCTCTCAAGACTCGTCCCGAGGTCTGCGGGCTCGATGCGGCACCGTTAATGTCCGTGGCAGAAACGGAGACGCCGGACCTAGGTCGGCCCGCTCCGCGCTCTCTGAGAGCCCTCTGCGGTGCGTCGGTCGAACTGATGGCCGAGGTCTGTTCTGCGGCCTTGTCCTCCTTCGCCTCTTTACCTTTATTTACATCCCCGGGTTGGTCGTCGGCTGGTTCCATCACCGTGAAGGCGCTACAGCCTGCCTCTGTTTCCTCTTAAATCAAGCAGTTTTGCACATAAAGTGAGGAAAAACTAAAAACATCTGCTTTAAAGAGGTTTTGAGTACAAGCGGCCTTATCCAACAGAGATGCATCTTCTGTTAGCTTAGTCACAAATTAAATGCATAAATATATTTACTAAAAACTTTTCTTAATTATCTATTCAGTAATAAACCGATATAATTTTAAAGAAGCAGACACTATTTTCTCGTTCTTAAAGCGATAGTAAACCTACTTATGCGCTCGGGCCTCGAGCACAACCATTTTGTGCGCTTTGTTGCGTCTCCTTTAAGCCAAATATAAACTGAGGGTGCGTTCAAGAACCGCAGCGCGTTTTAGCAGATCTCACAACAATGTGGATTTACACGTGAGCCTTCACAGAGAGGTTTAGGTTAGCTAGATTTGATATAAATCTACGAAAGTAGCAACAGACATGAAAAGGAAATGCACGAACAGGCTGTTGGCCAAGCATCATGGGAATTGTAGTTAGAAATTATTTTAATGTTTATATAT